TTTTTTTTTTTGTCTTTTCAGGCCTTCTTTAGAGGTAGCAAGACTGTTTCAATAGGCATTTTTTTTTCCCCAAGTTGGAAATAGGTCTATGATTGGTCTAGAGCAGGGTGTCCAGTCTTTTGGCTTTCCTGGGCCACATTAGAAGAAAAAGAATTGTCTTGGACCACACAGAAAATACACTAACACTAATGACAGCTGACGAGCTAAAAAAAAAATTGCAAAAAAAATCTCATAATGTTTTAAGAAAGTTTATGAATTTGTGTTGGGCTGCATTCAAAGCTGTCCTGGGCTGTATGAGGCCTGCGGGCCACAGGTTGCACAAGCTAGGTCTACAGTTTATTTTGTAATAGTTCTATCAAATATACCTTATATCAGAAATAGCAATGGCAAGGTAAGCTTGCCTTCTTCAAGAGGTTAAGCCTCATGGAAGTTCTTCCATCACTATTGTCCCATTTTAGAATTTTGGGCTACCTGCAAAATGGGGTGATCTGCCCCTGAGCATCTATAAACTGATTCTGAGCAGGGTAGGGGAATGCGCCAGGAAGCCAGTGAATTGTTTTATCTTCCCAAGGTGCAATGAATCTTGTTAGGGAATTTATTCCCAGTACTTCTTTTTAAAGCATGTTGATCTGATAACCTGAGGCTCTTAAAGGCCAAAAAATATGAAGAAAGGTTTAGAAAGTCTCAGAGTATTAGAGCTGAGTAGTATGCTGGAGGGCATCTACTCAGATCACCAGTGCTTCGTGTGACAGATGAAGTCACTAACCTTGTATAAGTTGTTTTAGGAAGGGTCAACATTTTATTCATTTATTTATTCTTTCATCAAATATTTATTTACCATGAGTCAAATAAGACATGTACCTGATAGTGAAAACATGTTGCTATTTCATTTGTCCTGTTTGAGTTGGCATTCAATGAACTTCTCCTTTATTACATATTCCAACAGCTGGTTTCACAAGGGCCCTGGGGGAATTGATATGATACGTAGGATCTTTAGCCAGTGCAAATAGGTTTTATATGCAAGGTCACCAATTTCTGAGCTGCTGGGCTAATTAGTTCTACTTGGCTTTGCATAATACATACATCATTGGAAAGTTATTTGTAATTTAATTTTTGAGACATGAAAAACTAATTCAAATCACTGAGGGGACTTTTATTTGAATAGACTGTGGAGCAAACCCTTTTATAATGTGAAAATGTTTGTTGTTATTAGAAAGACTTGTCCCCTAGTTATGGATTTTGTAAATCTGGACACTTTAGGTTTTCTTATGGTGGACACACAACCAGGCCCAGCAGTGGCCTCTACAGGGTTGGAGAGGACCCTGGCTTGGGAAGTGAAAGCTCTAGGAATCTTAGAACAGCCCAACCCAATGTATTGACGTTTACTGGAGCCCATGACTGCAAGCTGCATGGACAAGCTGCATACCTTTTCTCAGCTCCTGGGCCCTGGTGAGGAGAAGGAAGAGATGGGGCACAATGAGTGGGTGTGACGGATGAGACTGGGAGCTTCCTCTTCCTTTCCAAGGGTGGGAATGGGGAGGAGATAGAATGGGGAACCTTTTGCTTCCATTACAGCAAATTTTAAACTCTTCCTTAAGGTCTTAGGGCTATTTAGAATTAGGACTCCCTTGTATACTGAAACATAGTAGGGAACAAGAGGAAGAGCAGTAGAAAAAAATAGGACAAGAGTTTAGTAGAGAAGAGGGTTATGTGGACTCTTTTTATATAGTAAATCTCATTAGTTTGGGCCTTGCTATTTTTGAACTCGTAAATAATCTGAAAGAAGACGGGACTGAAATTTAACTTTCATATAACATTTTTTTTCTATAGAAATTAGTAGAGTGCATGGTAATATAGAGGAAAATGTTTTAAAAATCAATGTATAGAAAGATATATTTCACAAAGGAAAATAATGTATTTTGATATAGAAGTATCATTTTTCACAAGATCTTTGTCTAAGAGATAAAGCCTAATAGATTGCCAAGGAAGCTGAAATGTCTCCTTGTTGCATAAGGATGAAAAAATACTTTATGTATCCATTTGTAAATTCTGTAATAATTTATATTGATCCTAATTAGTCTCTATTAGTGAAACTTAATTGTTTTTCTGTGGAGAAGATAAAATTAGGGTATAAATATCTGTAGAAACTAAGGATAGAAAGTTCAGAATAATGCTTTTAGGCTTTGAAGATAGAGTATTTTTTTTTTATGGTGTGATTTTTTTCTGTTGCTCAAGGTCTTCTCAAAGTGAGCCTTGTAGCTGGTTCTCTGTGAGCTAGTAAAGATAAGCAACTGATGCATAAAAAGACCTGTAGTCTTCATTTGGTGAAAAATGAAAGAGAAGAAATGGGCAAAATGGTCAGAGACACTTAGGAAATTTGTTTTAGGTTTAGGGTATGACTTCTGATCATGGAAACTGGCATTCTGGGAACACATGTCTCTTCCTCCTTGGTTGAGTTTGCAATTGGCTCATGTCACTTCCCTAGGCCAGTGATCTTATGCCTGGCCTGGAATTTTGCTGCCAAAATTTCCAGATGGGCTTCTTGAAACAGCCAATCTTTAGAGATTGAAGGACTGAATGGGATTGTCCTGCCCAGCATGTTGCTTTCCTCTGTAAATTGTCAGATTTGGACCCCAAGGGTATAAGCCAAGTGGAGAAAGGAACCAGTGCAGGTATCCGTGGTCTCTGGTTCTGTCCCCCTGAGCTGACATACAACTGCTCGCCTTCTGGGGTCTATCTGTGTCATGTCCCTGGTGGTGATACTTAACAGAGACCCCAATTAAGTTTGAAGGGCTGCGAGTGTGGGTGGCTTTCCCTGAGAGTCCTTGTGGGGTTCTTAGGTTAAATGATAGGGGTACAGTGGGCTAGCCTAGGGTTCTTTTATGTGGAAGCTGGGTTCTGACTTCCCACACATCTCACACTGGGCTGGATTGTCCTTTCCCTCTTGAGACTACTCTTCCTCCAGGGACATCTTTAGTTTCCATTCTTTGTGAGCCCCAAGCTTCTGCCCCTAGCCCCCTAACAGGAACTCAGCTAGAACATAGAAAGGACTTTCCAACTGAGAAGCAAGATTTAGAAAGGGAACGAGTTAAACAAGGTAGTGCATTTCCTTCCCAGGAGATTTGTGTCTCCCCATCTCATGTCTGTTGTGGACTGATGTTGATGACATTGAGGGGAGGAGGAAGAAGTGGTGAGAGGAGTATTGTTATCAACTATGCTTCCATTTGTAAGAGTCTTGTGATTTACTTTCCCTGTTTGTAAAATGAAGACTAATAGTTGCTGTGCCACTTGGAGGAAAGACAAGGATTATTTAGAACTTTGTAGTCCATCTTGATATCAATTCACTAATTCAACAGATATTTACTGAGTGCTGAGTGTGTTCCAGACACTGTGCTAGGCACTAGAGGTACAAACATGATTTTTAAAAAGGCCCCCTTCTTCAAGTTGTTCAATAGCAACAGGGTTGTTGTTTTTGCCCCCCAGGGCATGGAAGTTTGTCTGTGCAGGGAGGGTGACTTAGACTGTCCTCTCCTCGAGAAGGACCAGGGAATTGCTGCCCTGATTACCCCCATGGCTGGGATCATGTGGAAGTATCCCTTTTGTTGTGGACCCTCTCCTGGTCCATCAGGCTGGGCTGTAGGACCTGGACAAGGCAGGACCTGTTGACTGATGATGGGCTTGGGAGGCTGAGTATGGGACCCTGCGATTCAGCCAGCTGGCTCCTCTCACCCTGATTCCTTCTGGTTTGTTGTCCCACAGGGTCTTTTCGGAATGATGGTTTGAAAGCTTCTGATGTCCTTCCTATCCTAAAGGAAAAAGTGGCCTTCGTGTCTGGTGAGTATTTGTGGGACTTTCCTTTGTAAAGGATCTAGAGAAGTTGTGTGTGTGCACATTTGTTTAGGCTCACTTCTTTGTTAGTAAGGGAGAAGTAAGGGTGGAAGCTATGCTTGGGGCAGCTGCTTCCTTTCTGCTGAGGCAGAGAGAGAGAGAAAAGAGGGCTCTGGCCCCAGCTGGGTGTTCTAAAGGACAATCAGAACCACAGGGACATTCCCCAAACCCCACCCCGTTTCAGCCCCCTGGCCCTGCAGGAGCTGATGAGGCCCCTGTGAGAATTGCTCCAACTGGAGAATCTGTGCACTTGGCACATTCCTGAGGTTTTGAGCTCATTTCTGCATGGATCAAGGACAGATTTTTTTAGAGTTTTTGTCTCCTCCTTATCTCTCTGTCCTGGCAAAGGGAATTCAAGTGAGGGTTCCTGTTTAGATGTTTGGTTTTTGTTTTTTCTGAATAATGACTTCCAAATATTTATATCTGACTTCTCTCTCCCATACATCTTGTGCACCTGAACCTCTTAATGTCTCATTAGGGGGTCAGCAATCCGTAGCTCATGGGCAATCCACCAGATTTTGTAAGCAAAATTTTACTGGTATATAGCGATGTTTATTTGTTTATAGCGTGTATTAGTTTCCCGTTGGTACTGCAGCAAATTTCCATAAGCTTGGTGGCTTACAACAACAGAAACTTATTATTGCACAGTTCTAGAAGCCAGAAGTCAGTTTCAGGGGCTTAAATCTCGGGGTCAGCAGGGCTGTGCTTCCAGAAGTTCTAAGAGAAAATTGGTTCCGTTCTTCTCCCGGCTTCCATGACTGCAGACATTCCTTGGCTTGTGGCTACATCACTCCTATCTTTACCCTCAGGATCAAATTGCCTTCTCCTCTTGCATCTGTGTCAAATCTTTCTTTGCCTCCCTCTTTTAAGAATACCTGTGACTACATTTAGGGCCTACCTAGATAATCTAGAATGATTGCCCTATCTCAGGACCGTTAACTTAATGATATTTGCGAAGTCTTTGCCATGATATGTTTGTGGGCTATTATTTAACCTACTACAGGTAGTTTTGATGGCCGCCTTCTCACTACAGCAACAGAATTTAGTAGCTATTACAGAGACCATTTGGCCCATGAGCCTGAAATATTTACTATCTGACCCTTAAAGGAAAAAGCCTGGTGACCCCTGATATAATTGAAGCCAAAGACTGGCCATAGCCCCTAAGGCAGCCATTCTCAAACAATAAGATATGCCAGAATCACTCTGGGTACCTGTTCCAGGGCTCCATGCTAAGTCTTCTGGATCAGAATTTCGGATAAGGTCTGAGGCAGGGGCTGGGGTAGACAGTGTTAGTAGCCAAAGATTGTATTTTGAGAAACATTCCACATGCTTATACCTCATGGACCAAACCTTAATTTTTGGGTGATTTTGATTATCTACAAGGAGTAGCAGTGGAGTCACAGAGCAAGAGCTAGTCCAGTCCTGTAGAGCAGAAGTTCATCCACAGGCACTGTTGGTCTGGCTGTTGGGTGACAGCCAAAATAGAGAGAAGACGAGGCGGGGAGGGATAAAGGAAAGGGGAAGCTAAGGAGCAACTGTCTCACTCCTCATCAGAGAAAAAGCAAGAACCCGATGATTCAGAGTGTAGATGTGGGCAGTGAGGGCAGGCATGCAATGGGAATGCGCAGAAGACTTTGTATGGACTAATTGTATTCTATATTATGATAATTTTATTAGCAGTAGTAGCAATAGGAATTTATTATTGTCATTGCTGTTAGATGAGAGTGACCTGGCAGCTGCCTCTTCCCATTAGGGGATAGTATATCTTACAAGGTAATGAGCCCCTGTCACTTAAGATGTTGCAACACAGGCGGAAAAACTCCTTGGCAGCATTATGCAGCAGTGATATGGGTACGGGGAGAGTAAGTAAGACAACCTCCAAAACCTTTGTAAACTTGGATTCTGATTGCTTGCTAAGCATAGGGGAAGACCTTGTGCAGAAGTCCTAGGGGCCACTGAGCAATGCCAGGCCTCTGATTTCTGCTGATCCCCATAGCCTGGGCTCCCAAGGATGTGGCCCACAGCCTTCTGGGAGCCCAATCTTATTTTTTCTTCTTTCTTTTTATGGCCTTTAGTTAACGTGATGTTCTTCCTGTCCCCTCGATATCCTGCCAATCCTCCTGTTTCCCTCATGCCTGACACTTCTTTCCCTCTGCAGTGCCTTCTCTACATCGTCTGCCAGGTTGAGCCTCTCTTCTCTTTCCAGAGTCAGTTCCTACATTGCCTCCTCCAGGAGACCTTCCTGGATCTAATGCATTCCTCTGAGCATTATCCTGTTCCACATCAATTTGGGGCATATGCATGCACAGTGCACTCTGACATGGAGACCCTTGCTTGATGTTCATGGTTTATTTTTTCCCATATAAATTCAGTCAGAACCCTGGGGCAAAGCCCCAGAAAAAACCTTCTCAAGTGGTAGGGGCTTGTCCTAATGGAACTCATAGAAGCAACATGGCCAGGAAGGCAGTCAGGAATGAGGCAGGTAGAAAATTCCTTGAGCAGGACGAGGGGGGCTGGGGCATATAGCTCTCCCCCATTTGCCAGCGTAAGCCGGCCAGCCTGGGGTAAGCCTTATTCAACTGCATCTGCACTTGTGGTGCCAGGAACTTCTGGGATTAGGGAACATTGCCCTTCCATGTTTGAGAAGGACACTGAATATACTGGGAAGATAATGACTGGTTGCATCTAAAAAAAAAACACAAAAAACAAAGAACAACAACAACAAACCCAAACCAACCAACTCTTACATCCTGAGCTTTTAAAAGATAAAAGATAAAACAGAAAAATAAAACAAAATAAAGAAACCTAGAATTAAATAATGCAGTTTAACAGCTGGATTTCTTTCTGAGAAGAAGAAAGCACTGCAAGGAAGGTGGTGAGTGGAGAAACAGGCTGTTTGTTAATTGTGCCTGCCCTCCTCTGCTAGCACCCAGGTTTGGCTAGGCGAAAGGAGAGCCATGCTGCCATGGGAACGGGCATCGGTAATAATCCAGGGCAGCCCAGAAGCTTCTGCATGTGGGCGTGTGCACGTCTGTGCGGCAGGATCTGGGGCTGTCTCTCAGTGAGCCTCCATTGTTCTAGCACTGCCCCATTCTGCCCTGTCATTCATAGCTCATGAGCTCCCCTTGGCCTCTCTGGCGTCCTTTGTACTAAGTCATAGCACCCATTGTCCCTTTTATCCAGCTTTCCCATGTAGGATCCATTTCACCCTGTTATCTTTGTGTGCATACACACCTCCTCATGATTCCTCTCTGCCTCCTTATCCCTCACCAATGTGTTTTCCTCATTGGTTTCCACTGTTCCCAGGGAAACTCTGTTGCTGTGGCACAATCTTTTGTACCCTGGACCTGCATCTCTCGAAGTGTTTTCCAAGAACAGTTCCACAGTATGATCCTCTACAAAGAAAAAGGGATTCTACTCTCAAAGAAGTTTGGGAAATTCTGGATATTGTAGCTCTCTTTCTTGGAGAATTACAATGTCCATTTAAGTACATTAACATTTTAAGCTCTGGGAAGTCTTACAGTAAAGAACTTTATTATCTTTTTTTAATCTGGCATTTTCCAAACTATAGAATAACCTCATTCCCTAAAAATGTATGTGTCTGTGATGTGTATCCATTAACATCTTGCAGATCTATTGTTATACTGACTTCATCAGGGGTCCTTATTCTTCATCTCTGCTTATTGTCCTCTGTAATTTCGACCTTTGTGTCAATTATTGATCAAATCCTACAGCTTCATTGCTGCTCAGCCTCCTTGGTACCAAAGGTCTTCACCTCCCTACGATGCTTATGCACATCCGAGATCTTGACCCTTGATATGTCTGTCTGTGGTTTTAGTCCTTTACTTTGACCTTTTCTGATATCCTCTTATAATTTGGGGGAGGATGGATGTGAGAGGAACAAAATCAACACCTTTCCCTTTTCCCTGGGATCTCTTCACCCAACAGGACCTCTCCCAACCTCTCTGGGCATACCCTATTTATATGGTGCATTAGTTCTGTTCTGCCTTCACTCAGCTTGGAGCCTGGCACAGGTACTGTGGCCAAAGCTTTCAACAGAGCTTTCTCTGTGCCCTAGTACCCTGTCAGCAACCCTGAAGCTCATGTCCTACCCCGTCCTACTGTCATTCTTGAGAGAAGTTCTCCAGTCATGACTTCATTTCTCTCTCCTCAGTACCCCGAGCCTACCCTGACCCTGGACTAGCTCTTGCCTACTGTTCCACCTAAAGAACCATGTCCCTCATGCAGGCTGAACCCCTCCCTCTCCATCACCTGTCTCCATTTCCTCCTTCCTCTTGGAGTTCTGCAGCCTGTCTCAGAGAGGGTGCAGTCCCATCCACCGTGGGCTAGATCCTCCTCTTGTGCCTGCCCTAAGGCCTTGCTCTATTGTTGTCCCTACCCTTCCTAGCATAAAGATTTTCTTTCTCTAGGCTCATTCCCCTCCTTTGTTCTACAATCTGCCAATGTCTTTTCCTTTCTCAACATCACATGGCTTCATTGTGCTGCCTCCTGTTGACTCCTTATACATTTCTGGATGTGGGGAATTAGAACTCCCCAGGCTTTCTCTTCTCACCTTTCCTTCCCTCCCATGTGAACCTTCCAAACTTCCTATTTACTATTTATTATATAATTTTAAAGCACATTCATTAATGGACACTATGCTTAGGAAGTGGAACCAAGTTTCTCAGGAGTATTAGAAAGAAAAAAAAAAAGCAGAATCTTGGTTCTGTTTTCTAAGCATAGTGTTGATTAATGAATGCATTTTAAAATCATATAATAAATAGGCCAGACACGGTGGCTCAAACCTATAATCCCAGCACTTTGGGAGGCTGAGGCAGGCAGATCACGAGGTCAGGAGTTCGAGATCAGCCTGACCAACATGATGAAACCCCATCTCTACTAAAAGTACAAAAATAGCCAGGCATGGTGACACGTGCCTGTAATCCCAGCTACTCGGGAGGCTTAGGCAAAAGAATCGCTTGAACCTGGAAGGCAAAGGTTGCAGTGAGCCGAGATTGTGCCATTGTACCCCAGCCTGGGTGACAGAGCAAGAATCCATCACACACACACACACACACACACACACACACACACACACACACACAAAGTCATGTAATAAATAGTGAATAGGAAGTTTGGAAAGTAGAGGAAAGAAAAAGCAACTATCTTCCAGCCATCTAGAAACCTCCCCAGCTACATCCTGCAACTCATGTCTTCAAAGTCAGTCCTGGCTCCAGCTTGGAAGGGACAGTATCAGCCAGCCATCCAAGCCACCCTTTGCCAATCAGAGCTATGGTTCCTTGTGGTTCCAAGGCTCTACTTGTCTACTTGTAAAATGTCCAAGGAAGGTCAGGAAAAAACCAACAGCTATTGTAAAACAAGCAAACAAACCAACTGCCGGAGTGAAAATGCTTGGGGTGAAGTCAAGAGGGGAAGATTGAGAGTGTGGGAGGACCTCCTAGCTTTTGGGAGATCTTCCATTTAATCTTCTTGCTTCCTTTTCCTCATATGAAAGGCAATGGAGAGATGGGGATCATTTCCAAGGCAGATGAGACAAGGGTGGTCATCGCTTCAAAGAACCAGAGCTAATGGTGTGAAAGGTCCAACTCTGAGTTAATCTGTATGAATCTGCCCCGTGTGGGGCGCTGGGCAGTGGTGGTGGTACTGAAACACTTCTTCATCAGGGCTGAATCTCACAGTGGCCTTCTATAATCTTCTGTAATCCTTTTCTCCCTGCAGCTTCCTTACTTCCTCCTCAAGGGTTTTCTGGATTGATTTTTTTGTTAAGCCTCCCCTCTATCTCTGTGGCTTGTGGATCCCGTAATCAGAGGGAAACCTTATTCATGAATCCACACTTGGGCAGGATCCCTGGGAGACTCTGCTGTCTGTGTAAGAGATCCTTGTTTTCCAGCACTGGTGAAGGCCGCACCTCTCCACTCTTTTTCATTAGATCCCCTTGTGGTCCTACTCTGGGATATGTCAGGTGGCTACCTGAGATGCGGTGTGAGGAGTCTGTAATCATGACATAGTGGTTTTCTGTGTTTAGTGGCCTGTAAGGTCATAGTTAACTTTAACTTTTTTCCTAACACCCCTGAGAAACTTGGTTTCCCTTCCCAGCCATAGTGTCCATTAGTGACTAAATTTTAAAATCATACAATAAATAGTGAATAGGGTATTTGGAAAGTAGAGGAAAGAAAAAGCAACTGTCTAAAATCCTGGCCTTCTAATAGCAACAGCAATTTTCATTTTGGTATACTCCTTCCAGTTATTTTAAATGTGATATTTAGAAAACACTTGTAATCCTAGTATGTACATATGCATTTGCAGTGATTAAGACCTTGAACATCCTGATTTCTGGTAAGATTCATGTGCTCCTCCAGCAGGAGTGACAGGTGGCACCTCAGGCAGACAGGCAGGGGTGACTTTTTGGCTGTGTAGAAAATACTTAATGTTTTTTCTATGAATCTAAAAACCTCCCAGTAATGCTGTCCTGGGATTGATGCTTTGAGGTCTTCTCACCATAGTAGTCAGTTCATCACAAGCCCTTTCACCTCTTTCTAGACTAATTTACTTCTAATTTACTTCTCTTTATAGACAGACCTCTGTAAATTTCCAAAGAACATAGCACTTTTAACCTGCTTGTTTTCTCAATAAGAATAGTTATCACCACTTTCATCATCATCTCATATTTGTAGAGAGCTTTACTTTTCCAAGTGCATCCCCGTGTACCAACTCATCATTTCTTGTAGCAACTCTGTAATGTACACAGTATTGTTTTCATCTGCCTTTTACAGATGAGGCACCAGGGAAGCCAAAAGACTTGCCCACAATGATATGTGCTACCTACAGCTAGACCCCCACAGCTTGTCCTAAGCAGTGACCAGATTTCCCTGGATACCCTCTTTCTGTCTGTTCGTTCAGCACTCAGACCAATTTCTTTTCTCCCAGTCGCTTTCCTTTGTGGCTGGTTTTCTTAAACACACTTTTCTTCCTCCTCTTTGCAGGGGGTCGTGATAAGCGAGGCGGACCCATCCTGACCTTCCCTGCTCGCAGCAATCATGACAGAATAAGACAGGAAGACCTGCGGAAACTCGTGACATATTTGGCCAGCGTGCCAAGGTAAGGGGAAGGGGAATGGCCTGCAGAGGAGGGGGAGGGGAGCTGGGCTGATACCATTGTTGAAAGGAGCCTCTATCCCTGCCAGGGACCCTGGTGGTTTCTACCCTTGGAGTGGATTCTAACCATTCCTGGAACACTATTGTCTATTGTCTGCCTCATTCCCATCATTCCCATCATTCCCATTGTTACTGCCGGGATTCATGTGAATGGGGTGGGCGCTGGGAGTGGCAACTGTAGATAGAGGGGAGGATCTCAGGCTAAGAGGACCAGCACTGGGCCTGCACTGGGAGACAGTGTGGCCTGAGAAGTAGGGATAGGAAGCTGCTTTTTGCCTTGTAAAATGGGAACTCTGGTTGATTTTACTCTGGTTTGGCAATAGACTGTTTTCAAAACCTCTAGCTTGTGGATAGATTTGTGGCTTTTGGGGTTTGGGGTAAATACCTCCGCTTGTATCACTCAGCTAGAGGAGACACTCAGCTTAATTTAGGTCATGCATTTTTAGTGGGAGTGATGTTGCCCCCAAAGAGAGTGAAAATTGGTTCTTGGGGATAGCAAAAGAATTTTTCTCATGTATTAAGCACAGGTATACACACTGTACCAATGTACAGTAAATGTGTGGTATTAAATTTTTACTAGGTAAGATGATTAGGGAAAAAAGATCTAAAAAGGCTCTTTCAGGGCCTAGGATGATAATTTTTAAAAGTGTGAGAAACACTGGTCTAGGTAGTACTGGCCACAGGTGGGTATGGGAGACATGCCACAGACAAAGTTTATGTATTTTGAGAAGGGAGAGAAGAGATCTTCACTTGATCAGAGAAACACAGGATCTGAGAGTTGGGAGAGCCCTCAGGAGCAAGCTAGGCAGATATGTGTCATGTCCTGCTTAGGGAAAGGGGCTGACAGGGGATGTGTGTGGTTCTCAAGCGTCAGTGGCAGAGCCTGGCCTAGAACTCAACCCTCCTGAGTCCAGCCCTGGTGCTGTCTCACCATCTTTGTTCTTGAGCAGCAACAGCATTACTCTCTGTCTCTTAGTGGGGCCAAAGCCTGTGAAATGTTTGTTGTGGCAAATAAGAAATGGTGCCTTGGATTTTCAAAACCTTCCTCTTATCTCTTTGCATTTTATAGGAGAATTAGTGAATTACAGAAGGGAGCTATATACCCAGCTTTGCCTTCGTTGAAAGACTTGGGATAATTTTTGAATATGCTGATTAAGTTCTTGAAGCAGGTGTCAAGTGAGGCAAGCACTGCATCTCAGATTGCTAAAGAAGAAATGAGTGTGAAGGGAGGGTTGGGGGGTAATGGGCAGGTGGTAAAGGAGATTTTAAGAGCAGCCATCACATGCTTGGAAAGATGTTGAATGGAACAGTGAGCCCTGAAGAACTTTAGGCAGAAGACTGTGAACAAATAGATACTGAATAGTGTCTGTTTTTTTTTTTTTTTCTTTATGATAGCCACTGGGAACAGAAAAAAGCTAAAAAGGTCTTAGGCTCCAGTAAAAGGGATTTGGGTTATATCTGAAGAAGAACTTGTAAACTTTGAGTGCATGTGAGACCATGAATGTAAGGATGAAAGATTTTTTTTTCTTCTGGAGGTCATTATAAAGAAGAAATACTCTTATCTGTCTCAGAGGCAAGGAGATGGACTAAATAACTCATGATTGATATAGGCAATTTAGCAATTTAGCCATCTAGGAGCTAAGCAGTTTTTTAAAGCACTTTTCCTAAGTATGTGACTATCAGGCATAAAACCTGGAATTTTCTGAAGCAATTTACAATAGAATTTTTCATAGGGACCCATGATGAACTTTCAGTTCTTTTGAAAACAGAAGAAATTGGGATCCCAGATGATATAAAGGGTACATTTTTCTTTCTTGCATGTTCATCACATACCTGCAGCTAATTCATGCTCATCTTTTCTTTAGAATAAAGAGGGAGAGTTGGAAGAATACTTTCCTTCATTCTGACTTGTTAAGCAAAGAGTGGGACAAAACAGATTGGAAGCAATTTAAAAAGAAAAGATTTCCACTGGGGCAAAGGGGAACAAAACCCAAGGGGGGCTGAGAGGAAGGTCATGAAAAAGGTGGAATAATACATTATCACTGAAGGAACACAAAAGATGCAGGCTCTCTGCTTCTCAGAAGGTGGTCACATAACTGCAGTCTGTGTTCCTGAGAACAGGAAGGCTCTTCATAGGGCAGGCAAGAACCCTGTTGCCAGTGGGAAGAACTGTTCTGTGAGGCCTGCTGCCCTGCCTCCCGTGGGACCCGCATTCACGAAGAGTGTAAGCATCTGACAGGCCACAGAGTCCACCTAGTCATGCCCATTAGTCACTTTCTAATTCTGTTGGCCACATGTCACACATAATGGCTGTTGGATAGAACAGGATTGTTCTAAAGACGGTGAAGTTTTGGGTAGGAAAATCAAATAACTTAGCTAGTCAGATAGTATTTGCCACTTTCTTCTGTGTAGCCATGGCTTTAGAAGAGAAGGGGAACAATGAAAATGAATAGTTAGATTCCGTAGATGATACTGATGAGAAGAAATTGTTTATCTGGGTCATGATCCAGGATGCTAAAAAGACAGGCTCCTATTGGAGGCGGATTGTTACAGGCTGGTGTGATCAAGCCTGTAAGTGACATTTGATGCCTTTTTTTTTTTTAAAGACTGAATCTCGTTCTGTTGCCCAAGCTGGAGTGCGATGGCACAATCTCGGCTCACTGCAACCTCTGCCTCCCAGGTTCAAGTGATTCTCATGTCTTGCCCTCCTGAGTAGCTGGGACTACAGGTGCCCACCACCATACTTGGCTAATTTTTTTGTTTTTAGTAGAGATGGAGTTTCAGCATGTTGGCCAGGCTGGTCTCAAACTCTTGACCTCAAGTGATCCACCCACCTCAGCCTCCCAAAGTGCTGGGGTTACAGGTGTGAGCCACTGCACCCAACCAATATTTGCTGCTAATTTATTCATGTATTTATTCATTATGTAGTCAAACAAGTATTTAGAACTTCTCTATGCCAGGTAGATTGAGGATTTGTGGTGAACAGGAACAGACATTTTGAGAAAGTTAGGGGAAACCTGGGTATCTCCCTACCCAGTGCCAAACAAGTAATAGTAAAAGGCACCCAAAGATGGGAGTGCATTGGTAGCATAGGAGATGAGCCAGCCAGCAGAAGACAAACAAATAAGGACAAGTGAGTGGTGAAAGAGGATCCTGGAATTTAAGGAACCAGCCAACTTAACGGCCATTTGGTGCACCATTTTAGAATAGGTGATTAAGCAGATAGTGTTGATAATTTAAAAATGAATAAGAAGAAGTAGTCTTACTCTCCTCTCTGTAGGCCAGGCCATATCTGGACCACTGCATTCAACTCTGCCACATTCATATGGCCAGCTTCATTTTAAAAGCGACATAGCTCAGTTAGAGTGCTGTCAAGGGAGCAGCACATTAAGGCACCCACAATCTATGTCTCTGCAGTGGAAGGAATGAGGAATGTTTGCTGGCAGGCGTAAAGATGAAGGGAAAAAAGAAGCAATTCCTGACTTCAGGTGTCAGGAGTGCTGCCCCACAAATGAGGAAACAGGGCTGGTGTCTGTTGCATCAATGGATAGACATTAGAATCAGGAGAAAGAACCTGCCCACGTGGGAGCTGTCTAATAACATTGCTGCTGCCTCTGGAGAAAGTGAACTTCCTGTCCCTGGAGACCAGATGACCCTCTGTTAGGGAAGCTGTAGAAAAATTTCCTCTACTGTGTTGGAGGTAGGCTTAGATAACTTCTTAATTCCAAGTTTCTGTGACATTGGAAAAAACAATACATCAGAAAATCCAGGACCTCCAAACAGAGTATTACCACCCCCACCAACATGCACACTCTCTTCTCAGACATCCTAAGTAAGTTAAGGTCTGGGATTTCACTTAAGATTTTGTCTATACCTTAAATCCTAAGAGAACTTCTTAGTCCCCTTAGACTCTAGGTGGGAATTTTGGGGCATTACCTAGGACCAAGGATCCTACTGGGGTGTAGCAGTTTGAATCAGTCCTGTCTTATTCATTCAGGTCCATCTTGGCCTGAGATGAGTCCCTTCATTTTAACTTCTCTGTCTTGCTCCTGATGAGTTTGGGCATCTATCTCCTAGGTCACTCCAGGCTTCCATCATCTTTCTGAGGAGTCATAGATAACAGGGTAGGAAGAAACCTTAAAAGTCTTCTAATTCAACTCTTCAATAACTCCATCCACTCAGTTCAACAAATGTTTACTGAGTGTCTGCTATGAGACAAGTTCTGGATAGGAATCTTGATGAAATCTCATGTTATCTTTACTGTCATCCACCTACACTTATCTAACATTTTTTTGTTCTGGTCTGCTATCTGCTTGCAGTTACTTGTACATGAAAGGAGTGGAAAGAAAATACTCAGATATGATCAGTTGATGAATGTACCTAGAAATTGAGAGGCAGGATAGAAAATCCAGCCTGAGAGTAAACAACTGTCCAGGCCTAGCCCACAGTGTGGATAATCTACCTACTATGATTCTTGGGAGTTGATGAACTGCTTGAAATAGGAATTTCTAAGTACTACATCTAGTAAAGAAATTCTGTGTCACTTTTATTGCATGCATTCCTCTTCATCATCACTATTAGCCTGCTTTGTCACGACCTTCTTTCTGTGACTCCTAAGGGCACTAGTTGATGTATCTGACACTTAATCTGCTCTTAGCAGTGCCACTGAGATACTGAGTGTTCTGCCAAGGAATGCGGGTATCATATTGGAGACGAAAGATGATAAGAAATTAGGATGAGTTATTCTGTAATGTCAGTTAAATCAAGGTGCCTTTACTTGTGGCTTATTATTTGATAACATTTTCTCTTGTTCTACTGATTTCAGCAAAAGATAAGTTGGGCTTATGGCCAGCACTGTCCTTGTGCAGCACCACCAGAAAATAGGCATAAGCAGAAAGAACCAAGAAGACAGTTTAAAGAAGAGGGGTAAAAACTGTAAGGATT